TAGAAATATTGATATGCAAATCGACCAATCATATTTATTAATTTGATCATAAATATATTAAGGTTTTTTTTCTTAATTATACATACAATTTATATTTTATAAATTTATATGTCAAAATTATAAATATTATTAAATAAAAATTCGTGATCCATCTGGCAACCAGTGAAAAAACATAATAAATTGAGAGGAATATGTTTACTATATAAACTTTGCCTTTTTTGGAATTGGGTGTTTTCCTAAAGAAAATCGATTTCATACTAAGAAAACCTCTCTTGTATACATAACAAATGTTGTAGAAGAGGAAATTATGAGCTTAATGGTAGCTGAAACATTGAAATCAGCCTAGTGAATTAAGATATATGGGCATTTTTGTCTTCATGACTATTTGTTTACTTTGTTAATATCTTATAGTCATAAGGAAAAATATGCCTATATCTCATGACTTGCTGGGCCAATTTTAGTGTTTCAACTACCATTGTGCTTGTATTTTTCTCCTTTACAATATTTTTTTTAGTACACAATCGATTATCCTTAGAGAAACCCCAGATTCAGAAAAGGTGAAATTTCTTAGCTAAAATCACCAAAAATCACATGATTTTTACTGGTTCCTAAACAGATCACGAATTAAATTAAATTATATCTAAAATAATTAATATTAGTAAGTATAAAATAATTTAAATAAATTAATATTTAATTAAATATTAATATAATAAGCTGCATTTATTAATATATTACTAATTTGATATAATAAATATATATTTATTAATTAAAATAGATTAAATATTATATTATTAATCGTAATATATACTAATATTAATATATATATATAATATAACTACTAATGCAACTTTATTATATAAGTACTATACGTACTATATGTACTGTGCGTACTATACGTACTGTACGCTAAAAAAAATTGGACATCATATAAATAGCACATCACTATACACGACTGATCCTTTACCCATATAAAAAAATTATTTTACAATGCCAGATCATTCCGCCAGTATATGTTATTATTACAATTTTTATTATAATAAAATGGTGTGGGAATAATCATAACATGTACTAGTGGAATGATTTGGTATTGCAAAATAATTTTTTTATATGTTGCACACCGGGTGAAGGGTCCTCCTGTTTATAACAATACGTATGCCCCTTAGCGTTAGCAAATAAAACGTTCGTTTTTCCTGAATTAGTAACTAACCACTAAAAAAGTCAAATTCGCAAAATTTTATAATGGCATGTTATTTCGTCTTTTACACTCTTTCATCGTTAAGCAATATCCTCAAATCAGCCCTGATTTCGAAAATGCTGATATACTAGGTATGTTAAACTTTATAACTGAAAACATTACTATTTTTTTGAAGCATTTGGTTTTTCACAGTTAATACAAAGTTAATACCATTGAACTACTAAGCAAATTTGAAAAGAACATTAGAAATAAAATGGTCCATGGAATAATAGTTGATGAAAAAGGTAGATGGTGTGACCTTGATTTTCGTTACCTGCCTTAAAGATTTATTTTTTTCTGCTTAAATATTAGGTGGAGATTACAAAGATGTATATGTAAGTAATATAAAATTTGAAATGAGATAATTTGGCGGTGCTTCTTTCATGAAAAATTCGTCTACTAAACAAACTATTTATTCGTTTTCCATTACAGAACTTGACGGCTAATGTAAAATCAAGGGATAAAGGTATAACTCCGTGCAGTGGTTGACAGCATAGTGCGTGGGAAATAAGTTCTCCCATAGTCTCATCCAAGTCGACGTGGGTGTGCAACTTACTCTGAGCAATGCTCTGTGGGTAGGTTTAATTGGCTCACCTGAGAGATACGAATTTTCTTGGGTCTGAGACTTGATGGCTTACCGGAGGATAAACGAAGCTACTTATTTCGTGCATTACCTGCTGACTATTTGGAATTTTTTTTTTTTTTACTATATACTTGTGTTGATTTTATAACGACACTAATTTTTTTTTTTTTTTTAGGTTAGAATTTGAAGATGCTATATACCAAATTTTACAAAAAAAATTTTTATCGGCAAAATGAACGCTTGTTTCGAATATCAATTGAATTATATGGTTTTATTCATTATTGTTTATTTAGTTTAGCGTTTAATTATTTGTTTTGCGTTTAATAGCAATAAATAATTGTCGCAGCTGATGCTGAAAACGGCTGATGCTGAAATTTTTTCATATTTTATTATAAAATTATAAAAAA